TACAAGTACTCACCCAAATACTCGGTATCGGTGCATCCCTAGAAAAAAGTACAGAAAATAAAAAAAAAAAAAACAGTTTTCCCTACTTTTATGTTCTAAAACATTTATTATTACCCAATTTTTGGGTAAAATATAAAAGTCGGGGGTCACGTCGGGTAAGTAGACACCAAACATGTCAAGCTTTAAAATTGCGTGTGCGTGTGAAATGGCAAAAGACTAATATACTAAAAATTGACCATGGGCGTAAGGTACAGAGCAACTCTGACTGGCTCTGTACACTTTCACTGATCCGAGCTGTCTAACCCCCCGTTCACACCTGAACGTTTTGTAGCACTGTTTACGCTCGACGAACGCTCTACAAAACGCTCAAAAATATAAATCCCATAGTATTCAATGGGTCTCGTTCCCACCTTGGCGTATTTCCGCCCGTCCCTAACGCACTACAAAACGTCCCACGCCTGAAAAGGTACAGGTACTACTTTGGGCCGTTTTGTTGCGCGTTTCCATTGGGATACAGCCAAGTAGCCTTCGGAAATGCGCGACGGTCGCGTGACTTTTTTACCACGAATCGCGGTAAAAAAACCGTGCGCCGGTCACGCGACAGACGTGCATATTCAATACGCCTAGGTGTGAACGAGACCTTAAATTATTGCTCGCACTGCGGTGTTCGTGGTGATATGTAACATGTGCAGCGGAATGGGCGTAATTGTTGTTTTCGCATGTAGGCGCACCCGGCGCATATGCGTGGGCGAGGACCTTAGAAAAATTATTTGTGGTTATTTTACATTTTTTTATGTGACTTTCATTTTTTTTCTCTTTTCGTAACCAATTTTTTTTATTGCTATCACATAGGGGGCTAAGAAGCATAAGAAGCATGCTATGTGATAGCCAATATACAGTGACAGGTCCTCTTTATGGAGACATCAGTGTCTCTGAGATGGCTAATGTCACCTTGGGACCTCCAAAGGAACTGATGAAGCAGAGATCTGCTTCACCACCTTCTCCCCGGCTTCTGTAGACGGCAATGACAGCTGAATGCGGAAGTGATGTAATGAACATCACTTCCTGCAGTCAGAGAACAGGGAGGAGATCGGAGGGAGATCGTGTACTGATCTCCCTCTAAACTCCATTCACTCGGCTTCCTGATTGGCCGGGAAGTCGGCTCCATGCTCTCTCATCACAAGTGACGAGAGAGCATGGAGCCGTTTCCTGGCCAATCAGGAAACCGGGCAGCGTGTAATGGCACGCTGCCCGGCTTCCTGATACAGGAAGTACTCGTGCTAGGTATCGGAGCATTTGGGCGAGTACAAGTACTCACCCAAATACTCGGTATCGGTGCATCCCTAGAAAAAAGTACAGAAAATAAAAAAAAAAAAAACAGTTTTCCCTACTTTTATGTTCTAAAACATTTATTATTACCCAATTTTTGGGTAAAATATAAAAGTCGGGGGTCACGTCGGGTAAGTAGACACCAAACATGTCAAGCTTTAAAATTGCGTGTGCGTGTGAAATGGCAAAAGACTAATATACTAAAAATTGACCATGGGCGAAGCTTTTACCGCTCATCAGTTTAGTGTTATCGGTGATTGATGGCCCTAAGCCCTCGTTCACACCTGAACGTTTTGTAGCACGTTTTACGCTCGACGAACGCTCTACAAAACGCTCAAAAATATAAATCCCATAGTATTCAATGGGTCTCGTTCCCACCTTGGCGTATTTCCGCCCGTCCCTAACGCACTACAAAACGTCCCACGCCTGAAAAGGTACAGGTACTACTTTGGGCCGTTTTGTTGCGCGTTTCCATTGGGATACAGCCAAGTAGCCTTCGGAAATGCGCGACGGTCGCGTGACTTTTTTACCACGAATCGCGGTAAAAAAACCGTGCGCCGGTCACGCGACAGACGTGCATATGCAATACGCCTAGGTGTGAACGAGACCTTAAATTATTGCTCGCACTGCGGTGTTCGTGGTGATATGTAACATGTGCAGCGGAATGGGCGTAATTGTTGTTTTCGCATGTAGGCGCACCCGGCGCATATGCGTGGGCGAGGACCTTAGAAAAATTATTTGTGGTTATTTTACATTTTTTTATGTGACTTTCATTTTTTTTCTCTTTTCGTAACCAATTTTTTTTATTGCTATCACATAGGGGGCTAAGAAGCATAAGAAGCATGCTATGTGATAGCCAATATACAGTGACAGGTCCTCTTTATGGAGACATCAGTGTCTCTGAGATGGCTAATGTCACCTTGGGACCTCCAAAGGAACTGATGAAGCAGAGATCTGCTTCACCACCTTCTCCCCGGCTTCTGTAGACGGCAATGACAGCTGAATGCGGAAGTGATGTAATGAACATCACTTCCTGCAGTCAGAGAACAGGGAGGAGATCGGAGGGAGATCGTGTACTGATCTCCCTCTAAACTCCATTCACAGAGCCGATGTGCCGGTCCCAGGCCTGCATCGGGCACAGCGTAGATCGGTGTCGGCGGAGGCCGCACACCTGCATGCATAATACAAGCAATCGGGCGTCTCTACAGAACGTCTCTATGGAACGCTTGTATGTAAACAGCTACTTGGACCGCAGGTGGTTAAGAACCGTTCCTTGTTCTGAGAGAGGCCTGGAACCTAACACCCTCACTTCCCATTCACATACATTATATATTTGGTTTCAATTTACAACACTCCCAGAAAAGGGGGCTAATATAAGTCAGTGCAAACTGAACCGTTGTAAACCGTGGGCCACCTGTACTGTGCAAAGTCTCTGGAAGTTAGACCGGGCACAGGTGGAGGATTGTGGCCCAAGAAGGGGCTCAAAGAACGGTGGACACCTACAGAGGGACACTTGGAGTTATGGTGGTGCACACATGGAGATGCGCTGGTGGCACAGGGATACACATGGAGATGTACACAGCCCCACAGAGATATGCTGGTGGCACAGGGTTAAACTTGGAGATACAGAGGAACACACGGGTACACTTGGAGATACAGAGGAGCACAGGGGTACACTTGGAGATATGGAGGCACACAGAAGTTCATTTGGAGATATGGAGGAGCACAGAGGTATACTTGGAGATAAAGAGGAGCACAGGGGTTCATTTGGAGATACGGAGGAGCGCAGGGGTACATTTGGAGATATGGAGGAGCGCAGGGGTACACTTGGAGATAGGGAGGAGCACAGGGGTACACTTGGAGATACGGAGGAGCATAGAGGTATACTTGGGAGATACGGAGGAGCACACAGAAGTTCATTTGGAGATATGGAGGAGCACAGGGGTACACTTGGAGATACGGAGGAGCACAGGGGTACACTTGGAGATATGGAGGAGCACAGGGGTGCATTTCAGTCTATCATGAATGCTGCTGCTAGACTTATGCACCTAACCAACCGCTCAGTATCTGCAACCCCCCTCTGCCAATCCCTCCACTGGCTTCCATCCCCCGCCCCCCTCTGCCAATCCCTCCACTGGCTTCCAATCGCCCAGAGGATAAAATTCAAAATATTAACAATCAATCACTTACAAGCCATCCACAATTCTGCCCCCGGCTATATCTCCAACCTTGTCTCAGGTTATCACACTAACCGTCCCCTCCGCTCTTCCACAGACCTCCTGCTCTCTAGCTCCCTTGTCAACTCCTCCCATACTCGCCTCCAGGACTTCACTAGAGTCTCTCACCCATTCTTTGGAACCCTTTACCCCAACCTGTCCGTCTATCTTCCACTCTGACTGCCTTTCGGCGATCACTAAAGACTCATCTCTTCAGGGAAGCCGATCCCACCTCAAACTGACCGCTCAACCATCACGTTTTCAAACAATTCATCCCCACACAGCTCCCTCCTCATGTATCACTGGCCCCTCCCCTTTAGATTGAAAGCCCTCAGGTGCAGGGCCCTCCTTACCACCTTGTCTTGAATAGTATTGTAATTATAATGTCTGCCCTATATTGTAAAGCGCTGCGCAAACTATATAAATCTTGTATAATAATACTTTGGCGATACGGTGGAGCACTGGGGTACACTTGTAGATAAGGAGGAGCACAGAAGTTAATTTGGAGATATGGAGGCACATAGAGCCATGCTAGGGGCACAGGGGTACATTTGTAGATATGGAGGCACACAAAAGTTCATTTGAAGATATGGATGAGCACAGGAGTACATTTGGAGATACTGAGGAGCACAGGGGTACATTTTGAGATACTGAGGAGCACAGGGGTACATTTGGAGATACTGAGGAGCACAGGGGTATATTTGGAGATATGGATGAGCACAGCAGTACATTTGGAGATACAGGGGAGCACAGGGGTACATTTGGAGACATGGAGGCACATAGAGCCATGTTAGGGGCACAAGGGTACATTTGTAGATATGGAGGCACACAAAAGTTCATTTGGAGATATGGATGAGCACAGGGGTACATTTGGAGATACGGAGGAGCACAGGGGTACATTTACAGATACGGAGGAGCACAGGGGTACATTTGGAGATACGGAGGAGCACAGGGGTACATTTGGAGATACGGAGGAGCACAGGGGTACATTTGGAGACATGGAGGCACAAAGAGCCATGCTAGGGGCACAAGGGTACATTTGGAGATACAGGGGCACATATAGATGCGGCTAGTGGCACAGGGGTACACTTAGACATATGGAGGTTCTTCAGTGGCTACCTCTCCTCGCTCTCTCTCTCTCTCTCTCTTTAAAATATTTCACTTTAAAAATTATTTTTAGTGAGTTTTTTTTGTCTTTAAATGTGTTTCAGGGCACTCAAATCCACACAGGCTGTAGGAATGGTCACTGGCTGCAGTGCATGAAGGACAACAGATAAGGTAAGAAGCTGTGTTAAGCAAACACAAAGAGTTTAAAAAGAATGTCACTTTTAAAAATCTTTTAAGTGACCTTATTTTTTCCTTTAAATGTGTTGCAGGTTACTTCCAGGTTCACCGCACACCGCGCAGAACACAGGAACACTTACAGTAGGGTCAGTTTATGTACCAGCTGCCATGCCTCCAAAGAAAACCACTGTGACAAGTGAAAATGTACCGAAAAAGGAGCGCAGATCTATAACACTGGAGAAAAAAATGGAGGTCGTTCGCAGAATGGAAGACGGTGAAACGCGGTCTAATGTTTGCAGAATTATGAAACTGCCGCCATCAACTGTGAGCACCATCATAAGAAACGCAGATAAGATCAAAGCGTCCATACAGCACGCTACGCCGGTGAGTGCGGCCCAGACACGATACTCCAGAAGTAAACTTCTAGAGAAAATGGAGAAGCTATTGTCACTGTGGGTGCATGACCTAAATAAAAAGAACATTCCGACGACTCAAGCTGTTATTACCGAAAAGGCAAAGTCAATTTTTGAAGATCTGAAGAAAAAAGAAGGTGGGGACGAGACATTTTTAGCTAGTAAAGGATGGTTCATGCGATTTAAAAGTCGAACCAAGTGCCCCAGCGTGAAAGTGACTGGGGAGGCAGCGAGTGCAGATGCCGAGGCTGCCGCAGCATTTCCTGCAGAATTTCAGGCTGTCGTACGGGAAGGTCATTATCCCTCAGATCTCATTTTTAATGTTGATGAAACGGGACTTTATTGGAAGAAATTGCCATCAAGAATCTTGATCGCCCAAGAAGAGCAATCTGCACCAGGCTTCAAGCCCTCCAAAGATAGGCTAACTCTTCTGCTGGGAGCAAATGTCTCTGGCACTTTAAAATTAAAGCCAATGTTGGTGTACCATTCCCAAACGCCCCGTGCTCTCAAGGGCCTTAACAAAGACATGCTGCCAGTCTATTGGAAGTGGAACAAGAAGGCTTGGGTGACGCAAGAAATTTTTTTAGATTGGTACGGAAATTATTTTTGCCCCACTGTGCTTCGTTTTTGTGAAAGAAACAAGTTGCCACCCAAAGCTCTTCTTCTGTTAGGAAATGCCCCCGGCCATCCTGGAAACTTTGATGCAGTTAGAACACCTCTGGGTGTCCAAATTGTTTACATGCCACCAAACACCACATCACTTCTGCAGCCTATGGACCAAGGGGTTATAGCAACATTCAAAGCTTATTACCTCCGCCAAACCTTCTCGGAAATGGTGAAGGTTTTGGACAGATCAGGCATAACCATGAAAGATTACTGGCGTTCCTTCAACGTTCTGAAAGGCGTCAATAACATTAACGGAGCTTGGGAGGAAGTCACAGCCAACTGTTTAAACAGAGTGTGGCGCAAACTTTTACCAGAATCTGCACACGACTTGAGTGTGGAGCCGTTGGAGAACATTGTGGAAGATGTACGTAGGCTGGCACAAGAAGCTGGGTTTAGTGAAATGACCACTGATGATGTCACAGAGCTATTGGATAGCCATGAGCAGCAGCTTTCCAATGAAGACTTGGAAGATTTAGCTAAAGAACTAAGCAAGCAGAATGAGGAGGAAAAAGATGAAGTGGCAGACGTTCCTCTACAGTCTATGAGAACCAAAGATCTGCAGCGTATCCTCTCGGTCATGGAAACCCTCGCTGATGAGCTCTCGGAGATGGACCCCGACTGGCAGCGAAGTGCTACAATGAGAAGGGGCATAATGTCTTCGCTTGGCCCTTACTCTGAGATTCTCCGAGAAAGGAAAAGGCAATCTCGGCAGTCAACACGGCATGCTTTCTCCCGGAAAAGGCAAGATTCTCATCCACTGTTGTGAATGCCGAGGACCCTTCAGCTTTGTTTGCATTGACATCTGTGGAATGAACTCTTATTTTTCTGCAGAGGCCCTACAACTTTGTAGAACATACAGTTTTGGTTGCAGCAAGCGGCTTAAAAAAAAGATGTTTTTGATCATTAAAGGAGAACTATGAGGGGGAGGGGGTGAGGGGGGGTGATTTTCACTCAGCTCATAGTTCTAGCCGACCTGTGACAATGGCCGCATCGGATCTCGGGACCGGCAACGGCAGTGACAGCTGTCTCTAGAGACGCTCGATCGCTTGATTGTAAAGCTCCCGGCCGGCCGTGTAATTACAACGGCCGGCCGGGAAGCCGCTCGTCGGGCTCCACCGTCCTCTCGTCACAGACGAGTGGACAAGTGGATTTTTCAAGCCCTGTATATATTATATGTGGGGATGTCCAGGACCCGTCCACATCCCCCAGCATTGGACAGCACTGGCTGCCGTCTGTGTGAGAGATAAGGTAAGTATCTCTGCCTATTTCTCTTCTATATTATATTGTTATACCAGTGCTGGACAACATAAGGCACCTCAAGGGCGGCCCCTAATATGTCCAGCAAGCAGCACAATAGATCCATTTTCAAAAATGTGTTTTTGGGGTAAAACATATGCGGCCCAGGGGGCCGCACACTAAATGCTGGTGGGCCGCACACAACCTACGGGCCGTTTGTTGGGCACCGTATCCTCCATTATGCCCTAAAAGATTCTAAACTCTTCCACCTGCGTAGAATAATCCTTGTAATTTGCTGCAGTACATCTGTGTGCATGTGCCCCAAAAACATCTGCAGACAGAGACACTGCGGGACCTGGGGCCAATCTCGATGTTTGGAATGACACTTGTACTGTATTTGCTCTACAATGAGCTCTTTAGAAATGCCGACAGCTGCACCTGGCCGTTGAATTTTGGAGACAAAGTTATATTTCATCCCCCAAAAATTATGCTGCCAAATTTGTTACAATGTCTCAGTGCAGGACAGCAAAGTATTCATGGAGCTCTACTGCCATCTTGTGGCCGTTTATCAGAACTGCACCATGCAAGAGATATTCATAAAGTCAATTTGTACATTATTATTATTATTATTATACAGGATTTATATGGCACCAACAGTGTGCGCAGCGCTGTACAATATAGGGAAGACGTTACAATCACAATACAATTCAAGACCAGATGGTAAGGAGGGCCCTGCCCCTGAGGGCTTACACTAAGGGGGTTATTCAGTGAATACCTGAGCCGAAGTGAAGTGAGCCGAACGACGTTCAGCTATTTACTCCGGCTGAGTACGGCTGTAATCCGCTGTACATCGGCTGCCTTCGGTCAGCCGAAAATGCTCTGCATGTTTGCCTGAGCCAGAATAGAAAATAAGTGAAAAGAAAGGGAAAAAAAATAGTTGAAAAAATATGTAAAAAAATGTAAACAAATTGTCAAATTAAAAAACAAATAAAGTTATTTTAAAGAAAAGAAAAAAAAATTGGGCGCAGCTAGCGGTGACAGCAAGTTCCGCCCAACTGTTTCCTATTGGCCGGCACCTGCTAGAGTCTTCTAGCAGGTCCTGGGCCAATGGATAACAAATGGGTGTCACGCCGGCTCAGCCCAGTTGTTATTGTTTAATGACAGATCAGCGTCCCCAGGTCATTTGGGGACGCTGATCTGTCATTACAACTGGGTGGAGCCAGCCGTGAGATCACAGCTGGCTCCGCCCAGCTGTCATTTGCAGGGCGAACGGCCGGCCTTCAGCAGACCTTTCTCCCCGCTTCGGCTGTCACTTCAGGCGAGCTCAAGCAAATGCCTTCGGCTCGGCTGAGCCGCTCGGCCGCCTTCGGCTGCTGTACGGGCTATAGTGAATACCCCGTACAGCAGCCCTTCAGGGCTCCGGCAGCCAAAGAGAGCCGAAGGATCAGCCAAAGCTACGACTGGATCCTTCGGTTATTTAGTGAATAACCCCCAAAGACCCGAAAGTTTTAAAAATAGAACTCTGAACAAAAGTGTTCTTAACTCTAACATTAGGGATACCCCCTCCCCCACCCCTGCACTGCAAGCGTTAAGTGGTCATTTTGGTGTGGACCTTAGTTATAATCCACATTTTAGGCCTGAAAATTACTGAACGCCCCAGAATCATATATTTCCTGAAATCACAGACCCTGTAGAGCAGGGGTCTCAAACTCAATTAACTCAGGGGCCACTCGACAATTTTTTTTTCTCCCATGGGGGCCGCTTGCCAAATTTCATACTTTAAAATAAGATTTAATTTTATCTGGTATGGTACTACGGACACCAATATACTCACCATAAGGCCCCATTCGTATCGCTATGTTTAGGTGCGATTAGGGATTCCTGCGTCAGGAACTTGCGTTTTTCTGAAACAGGAATCCCTAATCTGGCGTTTACACACGGCCGCTGTCACCCATTCAAGTTAATGATCAGATGACAGCAGCTGCATGTAAACTCCTGCACACCGCATGTAATGATACGTGATATGATTACATGCGGTTAGAAAACACTCTCCCTGGATGCACAATCGATGCGTCCAGGGAGAGTGATTGATTCCTAACCGAATGTAAACATATCACGTATATGAGGCGTTTACATGGAGCTGCTGTCACCTGATCATTAACTTAAATGGCTGACAGCGGCCGCTTTTAAACGCCAGATTAGTGATTCCTGTTTCAGAAAAACGCAAGTTCCTGACGCAGGAATCCCTAATCGCATGTAAAGATACAGGTGTGAATGGAGCCTAATACACTCCCCCTGCACATATAAAATAATGCGACCGCTATGACCGCCATGCGGTCTGCATGGGACAGAGATGCAGACCGTGTAGCTGCTCCCACAAGTCGGGTACGTGGTGCCCGACTTGTCAGCTGGCTGCAGGTCACATAGTACCGGCTCGTGGCCCGCAATTGGCCCACGGGCCGGTACTTTGAGACCACTGCTGTAGAATAAAATGGCGGCAGTTGAAAAATTTTATGCCGCATAATATCAGCATAACTCTTTTTAAAACTCAAATTTCAGTAAAAAAATACATTTAAGTTAATTTTAGTGCCCAAAAACACAATTTAATACCCATTTTGTTAATGAAATATAAAAGATGAAGTTGTGCCGAGAAAATAGATACCCAACATGCCAAGATGAAAAACTACGTCTGCCTGTGAAACTGCCAAAAATTACTGTACCCAAAATTGTCCATAGGCAACGCTTTCAAAGCCCATAAAGGTCATCATTTTAGAGTTATCTGTGAATCTTGGCCCGAGAATTATTGCTCTCGCTCTGGTGACGCCTAACATGTGTCGCACAATCGTTTTCTTACATAGGCGCACCTGAGGTGTGTTTGCATTAGTATGCGCACGTTGAAGGGGAAGTCCCCTATGTGATAGCACATTGGAGGTGACAGGTTCTCTTTAAGGTGACATTAGTGGTCTATTAGATCTTTGCAGCCCATTAAAGCAGATTCTGGTTGATTCAGCTTCTCTAGTCGGGAGTCTGTTTACAGGCGCCGGCTGCTGCCGACGTATGCCTTATGTTGCCGGTAGTGAAAGGGTTAAATTACAGGTCTGGGGTCCCCAAAGCTACACCGTGTGTTACGGAACAGCATGATTATCACAGCCTCAGTGTCTCTGTCACATAGTTTGGGGATGGAATTGATTTATTTACCACAGAGCAGCAGCAGCCCGATCTCACTGTACAACATAGGAGGTGTTATATACTCACAATGATAGCAGCTTCTTCAGCAAGCAGCGCCGATCTGACTTGGACTCAGTCCCTCTGCTGAAGCTGGTGTGGGGCCACCAATGTGTCTGACCCCGGGGTGGCTCTTGTCACCCAGACGTACAGCTTGGAGGTGCGAAGACGGGAATAGCTTGGAAAAGACCCGGATTACACAGGACTGTGCCGCATTTTCACCCAAACATCCCGGAACACTATTATTAGACTACAGCCGATCAAATAACCCCTCAAATCAAAATAATGGCATATCAATGATCACAAAATGTACAGCACACAGCCCGCGTGTCTACGCTTTATTCACAATATATGAGCTACACAAGTCTGAGCCCTGCACTTCCTGTGTTACACACTCCTGACTGCTGAACTTCCTGTGTTACATACTACCGACCCTTTCACTTCCTGTGTTACATACTACTGACCCCTGCACTTCCTTTACACAAGTCTGAGCCCTGCACTTCCTGTGTTACACACTCCTGACTGCTGAACTTCCTGTGTTACATACTACCGACCCTTTCACTTCCTGTGTTACATACTACTGACCCCTGCACTTCCTGTGTTACATACTACTGACCCCTGCACTTCCTGTGTTACATATTACTGACCCCTGCACTTCAAATGTTAAATTACTGACCTCTAAACTTCATATGTCCCACTTCTGACCCCTGCACCTCCTGTGTTACACACTCCTGACCCCTGCACTTCGTGAGTAACTCATTCCTCACCCCTGAACTTCATATGTTACACACTCCTGACCCCCTGCACTTCCTGTGTTACACACTCCTGATCCCTGCACTTCCTGTGTTACACACTCCTGATCCCTGCACTTCCTGTGTTACACACTCCTGAGCCCTGCACATCATATTTTAAACACTCCTGAGAGCTGCACTTTATATGTTACACACTCCTGACCCCTGTACTTCATATGTTAACTTCCTGACCTCTAAACTTCATATGTCCCACTTCTGACCCCTGCACCTCCTGTGTTACACACTCCTGACCCCTGCACTTCGTGAGTAACTCATTCCTCACCCCTGAACTTCATATGTTACACACTCCTGACCCCCTGCACTTCCTGTGTTACAAACACAGGAATCCCTGCACTTCCTGTGTTACACACTCCTGAGCCCTGCACTTCATGAGTTATACACTCCTGACCCCTGCACATCATATTTTAAACACTCCTGACAGCTGCACTTTATATGTTACACACTCCTGAGCCCTCCACTTCCTTTGTTACATACTCCTGACCCCCTGCACTTA